CAAATATTAAAAGTAAAAATCTGACTTACAAGTGAACTTTGCTCCTAGTATCATTATCGTATGCTTATCACACTTGAATGAATAGATATTTGTTGATGTTTTTGTCCACAAATATTATTAATTACTTATGAATTCTTGCAGCCAGTATTTGGTAAACTATAGTGCAAAAACAATATTACACTGTAGTTACACATTTGTGTATTTCACCTATTTTATTATTTTACATCTAAACTATCAAAACAGTTGATGCATATCACGCTGAACCAGTTAGCCATAAAGAGATTTGTTTTGGTAGAATAAAATTGTGAGTTCTCAGGCGTCTTGTTCTGAAGGATAATTATTTAAATTTGCTTAATAACTTTTCCACATTAAAAGATTGGGAAGTGGTTTTCAGTCCTAAATTATGTTATTGATTATCCACGCTTTATGTCCAGATTATCATAAGTTATTTCAATATATTAAATATTCCTATTTAAGCGAAAAATATTGTTTTCAATTAGATCTCATCAGGTTCGACTCTAATATACATAACTTTACAAATTAAAATATAAACCAATCATAGTGTTTTGTCTATAGGATAATAAGATGGTGAATATGAATTGTGCAATTAGTCATAATAGTAGTAATAATAATAATAATGATTTATCAATAATAAGGATGAAAAAGCGAGGCAATCTGTGATAACACGACTAATGAAAAACAGCATGATTAAACAAACAACTGTTCAGGTGTAAGTAGTTGATAAGGGCTAATAAAAACAAATGAGCCGATTAAGTAATGCTAGATGGTAAGGGAAGTAAATGAAACACGTTTTTAATGAAGATGTGATAAGATTAAGGGATGATAAGAAAGGGGTTGAAAATATAAACAAGGGGTGGTGTAGAAGTCTTTAGTTGGCTATGTCTTAATAGGCCAAGGGAGGGATAATGGCTGTTCGAACTTCTTTTGAATGCATAGTTTAGGTTTAATAGTCCGAATGCCTATCGCCTCAGCTGTGTGCAGTAATATGAATTCATTGTACTGTCTGTGTCTTATACTATGCTAGTGAAAAAATTCCCCATACTTCCTTAGTGTCATAATAATTAATGGTCTGGCAAAATTCATGTCGCTGACTCCCTACAGTGTCAGGTCGGTCTGATTACATGTTTGTTTGTTTAATTGCCTTACTGGAACTTAATCAGGAAACGGTTAGTTGGTTGACATTTATACTTTAGGTCACAGAGGTTTGTCACAATGAGACATATTTGCAAAATGCGTGTTGCCAGTCCTTTATTTACTTCACTCCGTTCTTAACGTGCTATTGCGTTTGCTTATTTTTTAAGTTATCTCTTGTCAAATCCATCAGTTTCACTTCTTGTGCTTTTTGTACAGATTTCCCCCCTCGTTCACAAGTTTTTATGAAGCATATATCGGTAATGTGTCTGCTAAAATTCTGTCAGGCACCTTCTACTAAGTTTATCAATACAGTTTCTTAGGTAATTTGAACAAAGGAATTCCTAGTGGTTTTTTTAGAGAATGGAACTATTCGATACTAATCACCTTTTATTTCTCCCCGTGACTTCTGACCAGCAACGTAATCTGACGACGTAATAAGACATGGTTATGTATCGCTGTTGGCAACTCAAAGTTGCTCAAATTAAGCTACACCCAATGACTGAATTAAGGTTTTCGTTTATTGCTACTATTTAGCTACTTATTTGGATGTTAAGTGGATTTTTTTCAAAACCTTCGAAGTGATTCTGATACTTTATTGATAAGAGTTTCGTGTTGTAGGCTGAATAAATTGAGTCTAAATGCACATGAAATCTTAACTTTCTCTGAGTTTGCTTAACAGTAACCAGAAAAATGTCTAAAAAGATACATTAGTCCAAAGTACAGTCTCTAAACATTCTCAAAAGGCTGAATAAAAGATAGATTTTATGCCAACCTCATGACGAATTGTTTCAAAGGTCCAAAGTAAACTGTAACATTTTAATATTGTTCGTCAACATCAATTTTGTCTCATTCCGATAGAGAGTTACGGAGTAAAATGAAGTGCCCATTCACCCCAGTTATTTACATTTTGCAGAAGTGTGTTTATGTGCTATAGTCGTCCTAAACCTATCAATCATAACGACAGAAACTCGAAATGGAAGTGACGAGTTGGGTACCCAAGGCTGGCGTTCAGCTAATCGTGTATGGAGAAAATGACGGCCTACGGGCAATCATGCAGCCAGCTAAAATGACTACGGAGAGCAGAGTGAAATGAAGATTTGCTGTTGAAGCCTTATTTTCGACTGGAAAACCAAGGGAACAATAAGTAGTAAAGCATATATCTTTCAAAGTTTTTTCCTTTAGAAACAAGAACATAATTTTATCTTTGTGGCGTGAACTTACTCCAGAAATAAATCTGTATCACTAATCGGTATTAACTAGCGTCTACTAGACTGAATTCACATGATTATGGGCTTTTTTTCAAGTGCTTCACAAATCTTTTATTTAGTCTCTACATTTAATTCCTTCTGGCCACATTTATCTTGTGTGATTGGAGAAGACTAGCTGAAGTAACAAGTGATATTGTATAATACATAAATTGTCGGGAAATAAAGAAAATATTTTTCTCACCGTCTGTTTATCTAATGAACACAATCTAAAGTGGATGAAAAATACACAAAAACAAATAATAAAATATTGTTGTCAGTCTTCCATCAGTGGACAGACTGATTTTTTTTCTGAGCACAATTATACTACAGTTTAGTGATTGACAAATAATTATTATGCTTTCCGCTTTTTGTGAACTCTTACAACAGTACTGCAAATTTAAAATTCTATTTTGATAAACTAAATATAGGCAGAGATAGTTTATGCTGACGGTGCTGTTTATCCTACACAGCTGATGCTGAATATATATATATATATATATATATATATATGGCAATACAATTCTGTCATTCCAATGTACTTGACTTACCTTTTTCAGCAGTCTTTTTATCACATATTATCATAATATACTTCATATGTAGTATAATATTTTTCATGACACTGTGAAGAACTGGTATTTGGATTACGCATTTGTTTAAATTAAAAATACTCATTATTCCTAATGAACTAATTTGCTAGTTTAAGAAGTGGTCTGCAGTTCAGTCGTCACTTTGAAGCCATAACAAACAACTGTATACTAGATAATTAATATTACTCAGCAAGAAACCCTGAACCTTGGGTTGCATATCTGCAAATCTAATATTTCCTATTGGAACCATGACTAACACTGCAGTTGTCTGATTGATGTACGCGGGCAATTATCTGTGCGGGAACTAATATACCTTTCTAATATTAATTCTGTTAGTTGAAATTCCTCTTTCAATTTTATGCTGTGTGGCAACAAAGTTAATTGACGTGGATATGTTCAACCCTATTGTATTCCTTTTTAGTTTATCATAAATCTTAGATCAGAACACACAGAATTAATTTCATTCAGCCCACTCAGAACTAGACAATTACCTTGCTGATCATGTGGTAAAGGTCTTGAGAATATATAAATTTTATTTGTATTTGAATTCATCGTTTTGCACATTCAAACGAAATTTATTGAGATGTTAACCAAATTGTGTTACTATAGCTTTTTGACTATTGAAGTCATTCATGGGTTGTTTATAAGAAAGTTAAATTCAATTTTCGAATTTCTACTTCCACAAAGATGTCGAATGCATCTATCATTTCGTTTTTTTTTTCAAGCAGAGAAACTCCCCTACCTAATTCATCTAAAAAAACTTGACGTATATTCTATTCAGTGTTCATATTTTATTCCAGTTCACTGTAATTCGTATTCATTTTGTTCTGTGTATTAGTGCTAATAGTTTTTGTAGGTATCTTTGTGAATAACTAGTCTCCACTTATACTGGATGTATAAATTTCAAAATTCTAAAATCTCAATAAGAGTGGTTTAACCAGGAAATAGTTCTTCTAGAGTCTTTAAACTACGCTTGTAGTTTCCAATCTGTTAGCGCTGGATCAACTTTTCTTTTAAAACATCAGATTTGTTAAAGATGCCAATAAATGGATTACTTTTCCATGCTGCACACATGTATTTCTGATGCAGTCCATTCATCTATGTAGGTTTGTATGCATAAGTAATTCAACACAACACACTGTAACTGGAAACACTGAGGAAGTATTGTGGTGTTGGAGGGTACAATGAAGTTTACAGGCCAATGCTTATCATTTATAATTCAATTTAATATAGTAAAATAATCTGTTTATATACAGATGAATCACAATGATATCGTGATAGCAACGTTTTTATCTAAACAATTTTTGAGAGCATAAATAAATACCATAGCCTTTAAAACTGTAAATTGTAGACAGGTTTGTAATGTTAAGGTATTTCATTTGAGGTAATTTTGACTGCTTTTTAATAAAACTTTGTACATAGACACTAAAAATAATTGCAGCACCAGGACTCCTCTTTCTAAGTCATTCCAAACTATTTCATTTCGGATCTACTCTGTGTGCTATATGAATTCCCCGCAAATGAAAAGACCTTTGGTCAATCGGAATTTGATAATATCTGGAAATGAATGAGTAATACTTTATGCATAAATAGTATCGTTCATCGAAAAAGACTTATGAAAGTCAAATTACGAAGTCATGAACTAAGAAATCAAACACAAGTCAGAGAGAGCGCTTGGATTTCAATAATGTGTTCACAATGAGGTGCTTTGTACTTTCGTTTGAATATATTAGGGGAGAAAATATATGCTAATATACAGGGCATCTGAATTAAACCTGGTAGGTTTCCACTTTAGCTTGTTTTAGAGAAACATCTGAAATAGTGCTGGTACCTGAAGGTCATTATCATTACCATCATCAGGCAGTTAGTATTTTTGACCTACTTCAGTGTAATTTCTTATCATTTTGCTGTACATCTCAGTTTTCAGTTTTATTGAAGTTCAGTAGAAATTTGTTTATTCATTTATATTTTATTGCTCATATATTTTTTTTGTCTGTCAAATTGTAAACAGAATGAATCATTATCGGAGAAGACAATCGGAAATATTAAAAGTAAGTGTAAAATTCAGTGTATTATATGTATTCACCCGATTTTGTTTTTTTGCTTTATATACATTATTTGACAAAAATCAAGTAAACCGTTAATTGTTATCGTGTTCACTATTAAAGTAAAAGCAAAGTAATCATTAAAAATAAAAAAATTACAGGTAACGATGGGTGAAGAGGTTAAGACCATGGTAGAATGAGAGACTGAACAAGCCTTTTCTGTATACAACTTTCGGGGTTGTATTGCTGAATCGCCAACGCCTCTGCCATACTCAAATGCCGAAACCCGATACTCTTCGTACTATTTGGCTTCTCTCTGCAGATAATCTTGAAAGATGACTCTGATGGTTATACTGGTCACGCACAGAGCACACTTTCCAAACGTATCTCCAGACATTTTGAGCATGGTTAGCAAAAGGACAATGCAAGACAGTTACTAGCGCAATTCTCTGGCAATTGGTGAACTCAAGCCAGGCAGCTCCCACAGAGTAGTCTTTCAAATTTATCTACGGGGTGAGGCCAAATAGTACAAAAAGCCGTTAAGTTTCCGCATTTGTGTGTTGTAGAGGCATTGGCGATTCCTCAATACAACCCCGAACTGTGTCTACAGAAAAAAAATGTTATTGTATTCATTCATTCAGCTTTTCTCAAAAAGTGTTTTCTATGCATACAAATTTTCTATGACGACGATTATTGATGGTTCTGATTTCTGCTAGACTGACTAGGAATTATCCACTGCACCTATGTCTAATGTCACACCAATGAATTTCATTTATACTAGTATTTTGCTTGTTTTTAAAACTTGCAGTTTCTGTAGATTAATTGACAGTCTCAAAAATTTCACTAGAAATATATTATTTTTTTATGAGTCTTGCATAGATGATTTCCTACAGTACACTTATTCAGAAATTTGACTGAAATACTCAAACCCATAACTCATTTATGTATAACATTTTATTTTGATAAGTCGTACAGTGTTGTGCATTAATATTTACTGATGACGTTTCGAGCACAAATTATTGCTTATAATCATATCAAAGTAAAATCTTATCCATAAAGGAGTTATACTCTACCACAATGCCCAGGTTTTACACTTATATCAGTAATTCAAACCCATGGATGTCGTTTGGTTTTCATAGTTAAGCTACGTCCAGTGTACCAATAAGATTCTACATTGTACCTCCCTACCTTTTAATTTGACCTTTTGATCAAAAATATTCGGTTTTAGTGCTTCCAAGGAATAGGGATTTAGAGGCACTGATGTGTATTTTTTGCATTCCTGACAAGAATTATACAAAACCACTATTTAGAGCGATACATGTTTGAGAGGTCATAAAAAATTATGGCTATGTCCCATTTATTGTCTCGCAGATAAAGAAGAGACCTAATGGTCTCGGGTTTGATTCTTGGCGGTTTTGTAAACGAGCACTGCTCAAAATTCCCGAAACAGGTTTTCAGTGACCTCTCTAAATGATGTTGGCTAGTGAGGAGTATGTACCAATTAAGATTTATTCAAAATTTTCACGAATCCTGTAATCTGAAAAAAGAAATGCGTTAAAATCGAAAGTATTTTATTTTACATGACTATGTAGAATCCGGGAAGCGGCGTAAGTCTTTTAATACAGGAATAATCTAGAAATAAATGGACTTCATTTAGTTTACCTTTCACATTAACTTACATAACGCTGAAAGATATAACAATATAATTTGTGGTAAGTTAGTGCTGTCAAAAGACACTGAACACATGAATAAATCTTCATGTATTGGTTTTGTAGGGATTTTCTTCTGATTGGTTGGAAGATTACATCATGAGCTGACATCAGTTGGAGAGCCATTGGAAAACCTGCTGTGAGTACTGGGCAGCTGTTTCGTCCTAGTTTGGGACTCTTCACAGTACGCTTCGAACCCTCGTGGGTGCGTACTGTGAAGAGTCCCAAACTAGGACGAAACAGCTGTCCAGTACTCCCAGGTTTTTCAATGGTTCTCTAACTGATGTCAGCTCATGATGAAATCCTTCGACTAAACATACGAACAACTTATTGATGTGATCATCAAAAGTCAATTGGATGATTTTCAGTACTGGCCTATTGACCTTTGACGATTTCCTTGTATGAATTTGGTAAAGAGTGTATGACTCAGCAGTTTATTGTTATCTGTGTACTCTCAGTCTTATGACGGGATGCAAAATTTAGTTTAATTCAGTGGTTTGTGTTGAAACAATCCATTTCAGAGTGGCTTTCATCATCATTAGAAGTCAAGTGAAGAACTACAGTAACAAAAGAGCAAATACCACTGAACAGGTGATTCATACCAACTTGAGATCTTTCAATAGAAAGGTAGCACTTTACTTGATTGTGTAGGTAGCTTTCAGTTGGCCATCTGATTCACAAAGAATTCCAAGGAACAACAATAATGAGAACACTTGGGTATGCAGACGATATCTACTCATGATTCATGCAATTCAAGTATTTCATTTCGTCAGCAACAAAGAGGTTCATTACAACTAGAAGTCGGTAATAGTGGTAAATGAAATTTTTCAGTAACTCTAGACCTGTAACACAGATCTTCAAGTTATTCTACCAAGTAACTGGTTGAGAATTAATCTAGCTATTGACTGATTTTGAATCCTGAATAACATAGGTGTTAAGCGGTGATGATGATAATGTGAATATTTTACATACATCAATGTTGCCGCTCAAATTTATTTATCGTACTCATCTATCGCATGATCTGTTTTACAGTCAGGCGGATTTGTTTTTAGGTAGACTTTAATGTAAGAGCACATTTTTTACTTATGATCTGTACTTCAAAAATGACTGCATTGTCACGATTACTAACTTATTACTGTATCTCTTATAGGCTTTATACGCACGTGTCACCCTTTACAAATTTGTATTTTGATAATACATTCGCTTCGTTATTTTCCTTTTTATAGCTGCTGATGATAACAGTCAAAACTATGCAAATCAAGTTCGAGCACGTTATGAATATTCACCAAAACAACCCGATGAACTGGAATTACGCGTAGATGATATCATCCAAGTATTAGACCGTAATCTCCCCGACGATGGTTGGTGGAAAGGTAGAAATCTGCGAACAAATTTAGTCGGTATGTTTCCCGATAATTTTGTCGCACCAATGAATGGGTCGGTTAGGGAAATGGATGAAAATAAGCTACAGGTATGCAAAATAATTAAAAGTCCTGTTATAACACATATTATTGACACTTCGTTATTCCTCAGACACCACAGTCGGTCACACACGCATTTCTCCTCTGAAGAATTTTTTCCGTCTTGTTGAGAAATTTAATATTGCTCAGGAGAGATAAAATATTATTTGAATTTTACTACACTGATCAGATGTTGAATAAGTAAAGTCGAAGGAAATGTAACTTCCATCCTTCCTGATTCACTCAAATTATGGAATTCTTATTACTGTTCACTCAGCGGCCCATCTTCTCATCTCTTCTGTGTATTTTGCATAGCTTTACGGTTTTCTTCAGTTTCTCTATGTGCTTTTGCTCATGGTAGTTTCACGTTTCTTTTGATGTGTTTGATCATGACGACTGACAGGTTGATTTTGAACTATCTTAAATTATATCAGTTTTATTCTAAAAATTATGTTTAAGCATGGCTTCATTATAGCTGAAGCAAAATGCAGTCCAAGACTACACTTTTCCTCTATTTTTTCTTTAAATTGCATAGTAGTAGGTTGGCAGCTATTTAGAAATTTGTGTGAGTTCTTGTTGAGATCCAAGAACATAATCAGAAGATTAAAACAACAAGAAATGGATAAAAGTAGATGCATTATGTTGGATGGAAATTCAGGTGGTCAAGTGATTTAAGCAAGCTGTCAGAAACGAAGTGTGTTAGTTTCAAGATTAGAATACCTTAAATAAGATAAATGAGGTATTATTGTGGTGAGACCTGGTTGTTAGTCAAAATTGGTGGACAGTAATTTACGTCAACGTTTGTGTCCTCAATATTGGTCGTGAGATAAATGATAACGAAGGCTTTGCGTAGGCGGATATAGTTAACATAAAGATGGTCTGACATTCAAGAAACAGTCACAAAGAGATGGAATGTTAACTTTTTGTGAGAAACAACCAATCAGAAGACTGTGTTTTTCTGCTAACAATAATCTATAATATGTACATGAAAAACTATAAATATGTATTGATTTCCTTAGTAAAGGATCTGTTGCCTGGCCCTTGTCTTCTGTTGTTACATTATCACATTCCTCTGACTAGTATCACCATAATCTCACTGAATGCAAAGATGATAAACTGTTTGAATATGAACAAATATTTTCTAGAATTGAACTGTAAAAGTGTTTATTTTTTTAATTAATTTAATTGTTGAGTTTGTATTGTTTCTGAAGTGGAAACTGCACTTTCGCTTTGATTGTTTCCACTGTTGTTTTAAGAATATCTTATCACATTACATACACGAATTCTTGTAAAGTTATCCTAAAGTAATTAAAAAGTCTGTGATTTCTTTTTCAACGTTATACTCGTTCCTTTTAACTTTCGACTACCGTGTTACTTGTTCAAGAAACAATTACTTATGGTCTTATCAGTGTTAACGGTTTGAGATGATACTCTGCCGTATGGAAAATAGATTCAAAAACTAAAATATTTTCCAGTACACTTTCATATCTTGGTTTTACAGATGAAGGGTTTTATTTGTATATCGATGAGCTGCAGATGACTTCAAGGGATTGAGAAGTGAAAACTTACTCAGGTGAAATGAAACGTAGCGATAGGCAAACTGATTTTCAAAAGCAAAGGGGCGCTAAAAAGAATTAAAAGAAACTGTTCAAAATTAGTTGCTATTCAGTTTGTTTGAGATATATTACTTTTCCAATGAAAATTTTTAATTTGTCTAGTAAAAATTGTTATTATTAGAAATCAGCTTGCTTGGGTGAAGAGAGTGTCTCAATAAATCAAAACGAATTATGAAATAAGTTGTTCATTGGTTCGTCCTATCCAACTAGTGTTTTTGACGTCGCTGCTGTTGTTATACACTGATGAATCCCAATGATTGACCCTATTATAAAGAATAATAACAATATAAAAAAAGACTGAAATACATTCGATAGTTTCGATAGCTGGTGTGCTTGATAGTTTGCCTAACATGCTGAATAATTTACTGAATTGTATACAGTGGCCTATATGACTGAGAGACAAAACCTTTTATTCGCCTTTACATGATAATTTAGTCTCAATAAACTAACAACACAGTACAACAGATGTGTAAGCAAATCTGACATAGACTGCGAAGATGTAGGGTTATTGATTTTACCGTTGATGAATAATAATTTATAATATTTACATGTACAAATGTGTATAAGTAATGTTGTTTGCTTACCTGTTCTGTATGAAACATGTTTAAAAGGGCAATCATTATTATCAGTAATAACACAGAGTTATTTATGTTAGCTAATATGACGAAAAATTTCGCTTTGTTTCTCCTCAGTGCTAAAAAAAAAAAATATTTGTTTGCTTGAAAAATTCTATGAAAGCTAAAAATTGATTGAAAGTATAGGTTGGCTGTCTTTTATATCTATGATCTACTTACCAATAAGTTGCAAATTCTGAGAGTTAGAGAGTGAGAGAGAGAGAGGAAAAACAAAGTGAAAAATAAGAACAATGTAAAAGCAAAAGTCAAAGGATATTTTCCGCAGTTTTAAAAGTGTTACACGTTCATCAATTATTCTCTAAAGGCGTTTACTGTTGTCTGTTATTAGTCATCCTGGTTAACTTAGTATATATAACACGCCGAGATGAAAGGCGTTTCCGTTTCTCTGTTTGTCTTTACACTTGCAGTTGTGTTTAATTCTCATCAAAGCAGTATGCATAGAAGTAATAATAATAATAATATTAATAAATATGTTTTGATCAATAAATACTCACTCTTACATAAATAGTATTTAATTTCACAACCTTGTAAAAAATAAAACAGTTTTGTCATAATGAAACTTAGGATTCTGAAACTTTTCACTACATCTATAATACTTCCTAGTCTTTTACAAATACAGGTTTCATTTTGTCCACGTCATACAGTTGATTTACAGTATATTAAACTAAATAAGGCCTTTCTTTCATACATAAAAGTCCCCTGGGTTTTGCCAAGTGTATAGATGATTTCTTTTATTTCAAAAGCGCCTTAAAAAAGCATGCATGTGTCTTTGGTCCTTCACATTTCTTCAAGGTGTCTGTAGTTAATAGTTTTTTCCACTGAAAGAGCATACTGTGCAAACTAATCTCAAACCATAAGAAATATCAGTACTCCGAAAAATAATAAAGATCACAATGACTAGTTGCCATGTTATAAGCTTGTACTAATGTAGCATGAAAATTATAATTACTGATGGTACCTCCAACGTTTAAATCTTGAAGAATTCATTTAGTGACTGCGAATCTGACGAAAGTAATATTTTACCAAACAAATGTCCTCCTCAGTAAATTATTGTATTCCACACATTGCAAATATATCAATAAATTTAGTCGCACATAAATGGGCTGATTTGTCATTTCATTATGAATTAAAAAGCTTTCAGCTGTTTTGCGTCTTGTGCGCTTTCGCCATTCCTACTGCAATAGTTTCTTGTCGGGCAAGGACTCAGAGATCGACCTCTCCCTCAACCTAACTGTAGTTCGATCCTACCCTATTGCGTGCTAAGGTTTGCGGTCCGATGGCTTTGTTTTTGTCTAGATTAGTCATTCTTTAAGGGCGTCATTCTATACCTAGTTAAATTCCTGTGTTCTGATAATCTAGCCGACATCGACCAGCAGGACTTATCTGTATAGTTTTCCTTACAGTCACTGCAAGATACTTTATAGAATAAGTTACTTTTTTAGTCGGATAAATAGGGCCCTTTTGTGGTGGTGTGAAACAGACAATGTGTGCCAGCGGAATATTATTCTCATATATTCCCACAGTTCAATTCGGCATTAGCAACACAGTACAATATGTCTGTTTGAACACTGTTTACTGTTAGACTCGGAATATCATCCCCCCATTTCAATACTACAGTAGCAATAGAATAAAATATATCCATTTGATGTTAGAGTCAGAATACATTTCGCACAGTTATATATTGTATTAACAAAAGAATGCTTTATATATTTGATCATTCTATTTCATGTCTTCATAAAATCCGAAATCACATTCTCAATGCTTGGTTGAAGAATACAAACTGTAGGTATATAAACAGCGGTTTGTTCAATGAAAAATATATTGTGGCTCCCATATCTTACCTACCGTCGTTACACTTTGACCTATAAAGCTTATCTTGGAGTGAGTTTGTTGGTCTAACTGTTACTGCTTTATTGAGAATTCTAAGTATGGTTTAAACTTAGTTCTAGTATTTAAACCTAACTCTTTTAGGTCATAATCATACTTCCATACTGAATAGTATTTTATGTATGAGACTATTCTTCGCATGTAGGTATCCAGGTTTGACTGTTGATTGAAATCTTTTGACCACTATGCAGTTACACTAATCATGCTACTTTTTTATATTTTAGCCTTCTACGAATCCAGCCTCTCTGTCCAATAAGAATGTGTCCGTTAAAACGATAACTCTTCAAAATACTAATGGATCAGTAAATGCTAGAAGTCCAAGAAACTCAAATTCTACAGTTAATACATCTCAGTCAAGTTCACTTGTATCACCATCACTTGATACAGGCAGAAATATGAATAAGTCTTTATCTCAAATTCCATCTAGTAAAACTCCTGTTGTTTCGAATTCCGGTCCACCAACCCATAATCAAACCAACAGTTCTATAAATATGATGACGTCAGGTGGACCACTATCGTCGGCAACCAGATCGAATTCACTGGGTGATTCAATAAATAGCAATCAGTTAACTCCAGGAATGAATCCTAGTCTAATACAAGCTGGAAGTAATTTGATAATTAATAATAGCAAGTGGAGATCGAATGACAAACAGGATTCATATGATGTGTCGAAATCTCGAAATGAAATTCAAAATGGTGGTGAGTCCACAGAAAATTCTTTATACCTGTTTACTATTAAGTTTAAAATAAATGTTGACGTTTCTAATGAGTGTAAACTGTTGAGTCATAGGCCATAATTAAGTACACAATATGCCCTACTATGTTATAATTTTTAATCAGTTGATTCAAAGTCAAAGGAGATACCGACTAAGGAAGGATGATATTCTGTAACTTTCATCCGATAGAAGTGTAATTGTGTTGGGATACATAACAAAATTGATATCCCTTGATAGTTTCAGTCTTTAAATCGATTCATGTAACATTGTTTTTAAGAAATGCTTTTGTATTGTATACTTAGCAGCCTTGTACTTCAATGCTTTATTCAGAAAAAGATCCACTTGTTTATAGTGGCGGGTACACATTAGCAATGGATACTGATGAGTGCAAATTCATGGCTTCTGGTTTCTTGCTGGCTGTATTTCATTAGGACAGAAAACGATTACCGTCTCTGTCTGGATTCGATAACACCTGCTTATTTTGTTTCTCAAGGTGATGGAGATGGAGTATCTGTGGACAATTCAAATGTACAAAGACTTGTTGGGCTTACAAGTGACAGGCCACGGCAAACAGGTCGAAGACTCCCTACAAAGTTATCGAACGCTACCAATCCAGTTCCAGTAAGTGATATCTTTTCCACTCTTATCATATGTCTGTGCTATCAGTTCTAGTGACATGCCTAAAATCTATTAACCATCTTCACCACAACTGTTGTTTGTTATTGTTTCTCACAAGCATTAGTGCAAACATATATTTCTGAATCTCTCAATGCACGTCCTTTGGAAAATTTATAAGAACCTTGCTTGTTCGTTTTTCCCACTATCTCTCAATTAATTTGTTTCATCAAATCACTTAAGGCTGAATTCTTATCGTATAAATCCAGTTTGAACTATACATGAAAACTATCACCATGATAGTAATATAACTCCATTAATTATAGAATGAAATGTGTTTTCGTATTAACAATGTTCCTATGATTAAAAGTATTATAATTGAAGTATTTGTGTGATCTGTGTTTACCCGTATGAATACTAGTCACTTTTTGTGTTACAGAAACACTAATCACTGCATTCTGACTTTCCCAGATTGAGAATGGACCTTAGTTCTATGCATTACTTTAAACTTACATGCCATTCAGTACATAAACGTCCAATAAATCAGTTTCTCGTCACCAGAAATATTACATTCTCTCATGATAATAGGTTTCTGTTAGTATATCATACAAGAACATGAGAAGTAATAAATATTAACTTACTATGATATATGATCAGTGTATCCCAAAACGGTTGAATGATTCAGATGAACAAAGTTTTTAATACACAACATTTACTAGTTAAGCACCGATAAGTTTTAACAATGGTTAATTAAAATCACAAAATTGTTTTCCATATTTTCAGTTACTCTAAAAATCCTAATGCATTCAAAATCCATGGTTGCCATAGTCACAGACAGTGGTGCGTGTCAATTCCCTATCTTTGATTGCAGTTTGTTTTTCTAGATAAAGGAAGTGTTGTTTAGGATTAATCTGTATTCAGGAAATAATGATTAAGGATAAGATATTGGTTGAAAATTGTTTATCTAATAGTTGAAGTAGAATTTTAGTAATAATCAGCTAGTTAACAGTACTAGAATACCTGTTCTCGAAATATGTTGTTAGGTGGAGTGGCGAAAGCTGTTTTCTTGATAGTTTGACTGACAGACTTGTTGAGTAGATCCACCTCAGTCCCCTTGCTATTTTTGCCCATAACATTATCTGTAGATATCCCCTTCTGTTTATTTCTGATACTATAGTGATTCGAATTCCGAGTGCATAGAAATATCACAAAAGTTAATTTACCTCACTGTCCGTTATCAAGTATATACTGAATATATATATAGCCTGTAAGCGTAGAACTATATAAAAAGACTCAACACTTTAGGAAAGCCCATAAAATATTCTGCCTCTAGTTCCACCCAAATTCCTCTGGGAAGGTACTAAGTCCTTTACTTTTCGGAGATTATTTCAATTCCCGTAGGCTTTTAAGGACACATTTGCCTAATGTACCTGAAGAGTTGTCGCATATTACCCATTGATGACATCTTTACTGTCTGTTTAGCTTTCTTCGCCCGCCACTGTGCGTCGGTGGCACAGTGATTAGGACTTTCACCGACTATGCACATGTTCCGGGGTCCGATCCATTGCCGACACACACCTGATATCAATGTTCGGCCTTTAAAATTTAGGCTACCGATATCACATGCTGAAAATTCGATACTTGTACCGAAAAGTACTGTGTGAAATCAAGTTTTAGTCAAAAATCTTTGCGAAGACCTTTATTAGCCTTATAGATGGGCAGCTTTCGTTTCTTTTTGTGTTAGGAGACTTTCAGACCCATTCTCCTTGCATCAGTTAGCTCGGATGAAGATTAAGGAATTCGCTGACACTTGTTAACTTCTAGCTGAAAGTTCTCAACAGCTTTCACTACTGTGAACCGTTTGCTGTTTCTTCATAGTAGTCTCTAAGATTATAAATAAATCTGTCTGTCTGTCTGGATTCAACATAGAACTTGGCACCGAAGTGCAGCAGTTCGAGTTGCCACGTTCCAAATAGCACACAGAGGTAGACAAGAAGATGAGTGGAGAGAATCAATAGAGTTTGACAAGTATAAGAGTGAAACAGAATGGGTAATGGTAGGAAGGAATATGAAAGATTACAGAGACTGAATACATCTGCGCCATTGATTATACCAATCACTGATTCCAGTTCCGTAGTCACAATTATTCTTGGAAACAGAAGGATCTCACTGCCATCATATGTTCGCCCTTAACAAGTAAGATGAGTGTTTATTGATAGTATCGTAGATCAGTAGACTTCGATTGTCTGTGGACATATGTGAACATAATTGGAAAACATCAAAAAATGCTAATTTTGCCAGCTCACAGTCTTTGACTCTCTGTCTAGTGTCAGCTATCGTTGTATTAAAGTGCTGATTGTATACCTAATCTGGTTGTAATTATTTTTTTTATTTTTTGATAGTGTGACAGTACAGGTACAATGTTAAAAACTAAACTAAAGTGAATAATTTGCTTTCTTTATAATATTGTTATTTGTTTGTTATTGACAAAATGACGATATTCAAACTAACCGTGAGTTTCTTTTGATCCAAAACCGGAAATCAAGGGGACAGATTGAAGTAAAAATTCACATTAGGCATTCAAAACAGGAAAAATAGCTTCTCTCTGAGGCTGTACAGCTGTAATTCCACAAAAGTCTTCATGTAATAACTAGTAAAGGCGCAAGTATTACTGTGTAAAAACGGTAATATGGTAAATAGGATAAAATAAAACTGAATCAAAAATTGAATGTTAAACACAGTTAGTTTTTCCATAGTTATTTAGATGCATGCAAAATTTGTAGTCATTGGAGATATATGATGAGACGGATTGGGTAATGTGTTTGTGAAATTTATAATTCAGGTTACAAGCGGTGAGGTGGAAATTGTCTAAGTAAATAATTATTAGTTCATCAGGTGGTCGTTTTCAAAGATTGGATCTTCAGCCAACAAAATATCACAAAGTAAAAACTCTCCGGTTACATCCGATTTGTCCTGGAAATTTAGCGCCACATCTATATCATAGTCAGCTTTTTATGATAATACAAAAATTTGTTCTTGGAAAATTATACGGATGTTATGAGCACATACTGGAAATTCTTCTGCGCTCAGATTCTGTCTCACATTTCTCTTGGTCCAACTGATGTATCCATAAGGAAGAATATTGCCGAGTGGATTATTTTTTTTGGTTACAGCTTGATTCCACAACGTATTTTTTGGTACAGGTATGAAATTTTTAGCATGTGATATCGGTAGCCCGAATTTGGCAGGCTGGCCGTAGATATCAGTTGTGCGTCGGCAGGGGATCGAACTCCAGGCCATGTGCATGGTCAGAGAGAGTCCTAACCGCCATGCCACCGACGCACGGAACCACTGAATGGTATTTACATGAAAGCAGTATTGATTAAGAAACATCTGAACAATCATGATTCAACCTATGAGTCCGATACGTTTACCCAGTTTTCATGATTCATACGTTTGCGTAGTAATGACAGCTTTTCAAGGATCATAAGAAACCGAGGAATGTTGGGCAACCTTTTTTTCTTCGTATTATATTCACAGACCAACTTATTCAGGCCTTTAATACATGTATTCTTTCAGAAGACCTGTTTATATTCCGGTCTTCTTAATTGTAGGATATGACTAATTCAACAAATGTTTCCAGTAGAAATCACAATGTGGCATCCGTATCAAATGATATGCAAGTGTATGATACACCAATAAACAGGAGCAGCACAACGTGCTTATCTGATAGTCAAACTAACCATGAAGGTAGTAATGGCTTAATAAGATTAGATCAGTCTGCAAATTCTAGTGAATCTATAGTCAAACAACAAGGGCGTACGAACAACCATGCTACAAATCATACGCGTACGGGTGAGTTAATAAGATACATTTGCAAAATAATAATCCAATTAAACTCAATAACCTATTTCTTAAGAAATAATTTTTTGAAACTTTGAATAACAATATTTAATATGCGTGATTAGGTTGTTGTTGGTAGTTAGTTGTCTGGATCATTCCACAGAGTTAACAGTGTTGAATTTCAAAACTTATATTACTACTTTCGCTATAAATTAGTTTGTCATATGGTCATGTAGAACTGGAGAGTTTCGCTTTTTTACTTTCAATAACCTTTTGTTTGATCCTAGTTCACAGGTTTTGTGAAAAGACCGATGCACATATTTATGAAAATGTTCACTTCTTTTATGTGTTGATAACAGTGAAAAGTCTCAGTTGACAACATCGTGATTCTGTGCTTATTACAAAATCTTGCGAACATTATTCAATCCTTTGACAAGAGATTAGTTTGTATCCTAGTTTCGCAATACTTCAGGTTTTATCATACATAATTTTGATAAGCTATCCGAAAATACCCATTGAAAATTAAAACATTAGTTAGTTAAAGAGACTTTCTGGTTTGAGGTCATTTGAAATGATGCGTTTCTGTACAGTCCTCTAAGTGATATCCTTTCGCGGCATTTTGCTGGGAAATCAAGCTGGAAAGAACAGTTATACTAAATTGTTTATCTCTATTTCAAGGTGACCTTCGCAAATCAAAAGTAATTATTCCTGTCGGCTTTTCATAACCTCCCTTAAGCGGTGGAATATGCGAAAGACCGATGCCTGTTTATTTGAAAAAACACATTTACGAACGCTTTTACACCCTTACAGCCCAGTGTTATTCACCAGGTTGAATTAAAAAGACCGTGGTGAATTTTATACCTAGATACCTTATGCATTTTTGATTCCTGTGTCATTCAGGCTCTAGATGCTGTCAGTTATTCCTTTAGTTAGTTAGTATTTTTATTCTTAAAGACGCTAATTACTGTTTTTTTTATTCTACCGCTGAATGATCTCACCAAGTAACTTAGATGTTTGCTGTTATATAAAAAGCGTTAAAAAACCTATTGGGAGAATGGCTTTCAATCTCCAATTTTCATGAGCACAAATTATAAGGTCTAGCACTTTCCGCTGTTTATCCCTATAAAATGAATTTTACTCATTCGCGCATCAAACGATTCAGAAGCCGACTCATGATCCTCGTCAAATCAATCTTTCTTTTTATTACTAGAATACACTCTGACAAGATGCAATCAATAGGCATTTCGGAAAAGTTTAATAATAGCGTCCCAAGGAATGAGAACGCACGGGTGACCTTCAGCAGACCAATCACAAAAAATGACTTATATTTACAAGAAAATGCATGAAAACACATCAAACAGGGTATCTTACTCTGACATGACTTAAAAATAATTCCCAGTTATAATGAGGAGAGTCAGTTGCTAAGTTGGACTAGTTTCTCTACATGTATTCACCGAGGTGATTGAAGACCAGATGTTTTTGTGAATCGTTTATTTCTCTTCGTCTTCTTCAAAAGCCCTTGGTTGAGCTTTTGTGTTTTGCAGTAGGAGGATTGACGACTACTTACCAGGAAAATGTGGATAATAAAACAAATTAAAATAAATAAATTTGTCAAGGCCATCAATTCGCTCATTACGTAGTTTCGTTTTGGGCTGCTACAGTTTACAGTCACCATGACATCAACTATAAATCTCTCCCTAAACGTAACCCTAACCTTAGTCCTAACCCTAATCGTAATCCTTTTCCGAACCGTAATTCTAGCCCTAATGCTAATTATAACCCTGGTCCTAACTCTAACGTGCTATTAACAAGTTGTCGAGACAGCACTCCAAAAGTGATCTGGGTGAAATTTGCTGCATAGCTGGTGAATAGCGCTGATATTTCGGCTATGATAATGACTGGTGCCGTTAGCCAACGAATAGCATGCGTTCAAGGTTGTTGGAGCGTTCACACTACTGGGACGCTATTTCTGAACTTCGCCGACACTTCAATAAAATACAGTGAGATCCTGATAATGTCTGATATAATCAAATTTTTCAGGCTGTTTTTCACTCGATATTTTGAAGCCTTGAATAACACTGCTTTAAATCAAATCAGTTGATAAAATCACATTGGACTTGTGGGACCAAGAGTTTACTGGGTGTTTTGCATATAATATTTTATTATAGAATATAGACTTTTCTACACCAGATTTTGAGAACGAATGTCTATGACATAATGAATGTTAAAAATTTCTAGGTAAGTAACGGATAACCTTGAAATGGTAGCTTCAAACATAACTTTTCTACCTCAATAAGCCATTTATACAATATCTTCTACCAAGACTTGAACTCATATCCTCCGAAACTCTAGTTCTGAGATGCCTAGCTAAGCTGCAACTATCTTCTATAGAAAAGGAATTGTCAGTGTGAAGACTACCGCCGAATTATAACTACCATCCTACTGTTGTTTTCATTAGTAATAAAAATTACTACATATTAAAGGGGGAATAATTTAGTTCATTTATTTTAAAATTAGATTTTAGAATACATTTTGGTAGAATTATTCAGAAACATTATATACGTTTTAAACTGAATTTATGCTTAAATTACTAAGTCCTTAGAATCTTCGAGAAAAAAATGTTTAAGATATTGAGTGTGAAAAAATCAAGACAATTGGCATATGATAGAAGCCGATGTATATTTAGTTGCGTAAACCGCTATCTAATCTGCAAAGCAGATAATTGTTTCCCGTATCCCTCATGTTATTATCCTTGAAAGGTTAAAAGAAGAAGCTTTTGCTTTTTATCTAAATTAGTTTTCTGTCAAAATAGAACGATGATTAGATTAACACCAGAACTTGGTTAAATTGTATCTGAAGAGATTACAGTCACTTCTTATTCATCGTCTGAATTTTTTAAGTTTTTTCCTTTTTTTTACGTCAATTTTTAAATTTGCGTTGGTGGCACACTGGTAGAATGCTCATCAACCATGCAGGTGGTTCGGGGTTCGATCTCTGGCCGACGCACTCTTTCACCTTGCCAAGTCAGTAATAAGACTGGTAAAGAGGGGAGGTTGAGCGTAAGGCTAGCAACCCCATCCCGTAAAATTAAACGCCAGGCCTCCAGCTTAAAGCCCTATGTTCCACTGGGAACGTAAAAAAATAATAAATAATAAATCCGTCAATCCACACTAGTAGGAAGCCGTGATTATACCCTTCAGTCGGTTTCTTTCTAGTTGTCGGTTTTACGCGGGTCAGTTGTCATATCGAGTGCTATTTGAATTTGTTCTTTTTCTTCTAATCGGGAATTTCAATGGGTTTTAAAATCCAGGCCAGAGTTTTGCATCATTTATTATTATTATTATATCCTTTAATTCCTGGAGGAACAAAGTGCTTCAGCTGCGCATCTCCATCGCCTTCTGTTTTCTGCCAGCTTTTTCACCTCGCTCCAAGTCTGCGCACATGCTTTCATCTCCTCCTCACATGACCTCCTCCAAGTCACCCTTGGACGACCAACTCGCCGCTTCCCCTTCGGGTTCCACTCGAGGGCTTGTCTAGTGATGTCACTTGATGGTTTCCTCGGAGTATGGCCACAATCCAATCCATCTCCATTTCTTCTTGCCCATTTGTTTCACAATCGGTTTCTGCTGGGTTGGTTCGCTCATTGCCAGCGATCCCTGTTGCTGATCTTTTCTGGCCGGCCATCTGATCTTGAGTATTGAACGAAGACAACTGTTGATGAAGGTCTGACGTTTGTTTGAGATGCTCTTTATGACGCGCTGGCCAAGTCTCTGATCCGTATAGTAGCACTGACTGATTCCACATTGGAGTTAAAAATCCGGATCTTATTTTTAGTGCTGAGTGCTGTTGACCTCCACACAGATTTGAGAGTGATGAAAGCTTGTCTTGCTTTGATATCCTCGTCAGTTCCGTTCGCCTGTAGTTGAAACGATGCTTCCTAGGTAGGTAGGTAGGTAAAGGAGGTTGTTTCTTTCAGATTCCTCCCATTTATGCTGATTGTTGTCTGTTGTTGTTGCTGTGGCTGTTGGTGTTGGCCAGAAATCTCTGTTTTATCCATGTTCACTTGAAGTCCTATCTTTGATGCTTCTTCTGCCAACTTGTTGCTTTTCACTTGCATATCTTCCAGTGTGTGGGAAATCAGACATATATCATCAAGGGCGAAGTCCAGATCCTCCAAGTTTTTTGTGTGAGTCCATTTTATGCCTGCTCCCTCGGTGGTTGCCGTTGTCTGTCGCATTATCCAATCTACTGCAATCAGGAAAATCATTGGTGATAGTAGGCAGTCTTGTCTCACTCCCGTTCTTTGCATCATTTAGTTTGGTATATATATATGTATATATATATATATATATATATATATTTGTGGGTGGCACAGAAGGAATGGTGAAATAGTTTTGTTTTGTTTTATGAAATGATAACCATGTAAACAAGTAATTACTCTGCATCAGTTGTTTCAGAATTATTCACTTTTACACCCTTGAAGAGTTTTATTCTTTAAAATTTAAAATTTATTTTATGACAAGAACCTACCGTAGTTATTTGTCAGAATAGCGATGTACCTGATGTTTGGATTTTGCTTGCAGAATAGCTTAAAATGCATTATTGCCACCTTTTTGTGTCTACTGGTTATGTTGCATATCTTATTATGTGTTTCTGGTTTGGAGTCTATATTACCACCACACAGCAATAAATAAGCGCTACTGCATTTCATCACTAACGAACATCAACCATATGGTGTTGTCTGAAGACATTTTGTGATATAATTTTCTCCACACCTTTTTATTCATATTTAGGCTGTATTAGAGAAGGTTTCGTATTTATACAGTATTATTAGCATTGAACGTAGGTTTGTTTATATGAGCTTCACGATTCCGTGTAACGAATCGATTGATCTGATCACTATGCTTTAATTTCAAAGTGTTGGTTTTCAAGGATTTGACTGAATACAATTTCGACCACGAACCAATACAAACTAGGGAGTACTGTGTTTCATCCTAGTTTGTGACTCTTCAGCAGCACTTACCCCTAAACTCCATTACTCTTAAGCGATTTCTTAAAAATAATAATAAATAATTTGGAATTTTAGAATCTCGAACATTTTATTTCATACTTCTTATAACTAACATTGAGTTTATCGGCTTTACTTCACCTTTTCTTTAACCATTATATTTTATAGTTTACACATGATTCTAATCAATGATTGATATATTAGGTATTAGTGTGTTTTTCAATGTGAAAACATTTTTAATCAAGAGTCCAATAACTACTCCATTATTTCCTATCATCACTAGCTGTTAAGAGGAATGAATACCAGTCCATGAAAACAATTTTAACCCACTGCATTTCATAAACTCACTTATTTAATAAGATAGATGACTTTTATGTACATTATCTCCGAAGATTGACTGTATCCAATATATGACAGATAGTTAGAACCGCTTTTAAGACTTAATACATTCATAAGACAAAATGATGAGTTGTTACAAAAATAATACAAGCATTGAGCCTATTTTTGATACTGTCTGTAGACTTTGTGTGCACAGGCGCACACTTTTAGGACCTGAGATACAAGATAATGCCTATAAATAATTTATTATTTGCACTTTTACTGCTCAAATCTATGTTGTTGACGTTATTGGACCGTATAGGTTCATATACATCATATCAAAGTAGCTCGCCTGCTGGTAGTACAAAAGCCGTAAAATCATCTAACCATCAGCATCGTGTTTCAACCAGTAAAGTTCCGTCTATCGGTGAGTATGGTCGCAGCAGTCCTTTAAATAGCAGACATCGTTTATTTGGTTCACAAAATCTGGAAATGAGACCTAAGCAGTCTTGTAAGCCTGTTTCAGGTTCCGTGTCAAATTTCTCTTTGTTTACGTTTGTTAAGTTGTTTTTGTTGCATTTATTGAACTATATGAAAATATAATGTTGATGTTCGAATTTGTAGCCTGTAAAGCGGCTAGCAACCAGTTAGCTTTATTATGTAAATTCTGAGTTCAATTCAAAAAAAGTACCCACAAAGTTTGTAAACGTGTTGTTTTTCATAATATTTCACTTGCATGAATTTTTCCTTTGGATTCACACATATGTTATTGATCGTGAAATAAGGAATGCCAGTGGAAATAAAGCATTTAATAAAAAATTCAACAATAAAATGTACTAGATTGCTTGAGAACCCATGGGTTCTACCGATTCTTCAGGTTAATATGAATTAGATAATTTTTATTGTGAGACTACCCAGTGAATTAAGTAACCACATATGGAGGTGATTCCTATACCTTAAGATACTAGGTAATGACTTCTATCATGAATCTAGCCGTTGTAGTTAGTGAAGACTGAATTTAACCAGCTAGGTGTCTTACCATGATGGTACACTCTGAATTCTTGTCATTAGATGGCTGATAGAAATCGACAGAAATCACTTGGACCTATATTTCGTGCTTGTTTGTACTCGTCAGTAACGCGTCTATGCGATCATGAAGGAACTCATGTTCCTTCTTGAGATTCAAACCGGGGTCACTCAGTGATACAGTCAGATAGGTTACCATTGAACTATTCGGGTTCGTGACTTACTTCCTGTAATACTACCTAGCTTACAATCAAAGTATCCATTCATTTTACAAAGCTAACGTACAGAATAGTCTTATCAGGAGACTGAAATAAGACTTTGCATCATGCTTCAAAACATAACAACTTTTTCAGCTTGTAATTTGATAGTCTTCATTTATTATGATGGTTATCGTTATATGAAGCTCATGGGAAACCCAAATAGTTAACATAATTCAAACTCCGAAATCCAGCCAAACAAAAATATATATATTCTAATTTCGGTACTTAGTAAGTGCTCTTGACTATTCCTTACTTTTGTCTGAACAATTGTTCTGATCGGTTTCCTCTTCTTAAAGTACGTTCGTTTTTACTTAGTTTTCAGTATTACAACATTTGTCGCAGGTAAATAATTACAAACATTAGAGACATACATTCAAAGAAGTAGTATCTTGGTCTATGAATTCTGCTGGTCACCTGAGTTTCTATTGGTGTTGATTTTAGGCATAATTAAAATCAGACATCATATGATTTATCCTTTGGATTTATATAATATCAAATGAATCAATTTCTTTGAGCAAAAGTCCTTAAAAATGTCTTCGAACAAACCTTTTTATTGAATTCTCAGTTATCATTTCAATCGTCTGCATCTACAGTTCCAAAGAATTATAGAGGTAAATTTAAGATAACGAGTAGGCATTAATCGCTTAGTGTATTATTGGGTTTTAGAACGTTATAAAATAATATTTTTGATGTTTTCTTTGGTAATTTACAACTCGTCGTCGATCGGATGGATTAATGACTGAATAATTTACCTAGGTGGACATCGCTTCTAAAATTCTATGCCTTCAACTCCCATTACAAGTTTGAGTCAGCGTGGGCAACTTTGTGGAATATGATTCTAGACAAAGCAATAAGAAAATGTAACTTATCTGAATATGACTCACAATATTCAAGCTATTAGAAATGGTATCAAAGATTAAATAAATGTCGATGCACATTGGAATTAGACACCATATTGTTCATTATTAAGGTAATGTAATATAATACTGTTGTGGAAATTGAAAGTAACAACTGAAAAAATATTAATAATTGGGTAATATTTATAGAACCAAGGTAGTTATGTCAGTGAGAAAGTGAGTGATGAAATACGCGTAATCTGCGGAAGTCGTTTTTTATATAAACTCACTGGATGATAAACGCTTACTAAATTTTAATTTTGTCATTTATTTTAGCGAATCTACAAAGAAGTGATGGTTCCAATGGTTCAATGGAATTGGATCGAAGCACTGAAAACGTTATGAATACATCGAATCTAGTGGTATCCAACCGTAATAAAGGCCAGTCAAATGATATTCAGAATCAGTTTGATCAGTTTCAAAATGAAGTTAGACAACAACTACGTGATATTCGACGAGAATGTGATTCCCTTAAAGTATAACCCAGAAGTGTTATTTTATCCAGTATTTATTATCTATCCAGATATGACATTTTATTTTGTTTGAAGTTAAATTGTATTTTTATAAAAATTAGGATCTTGAGGTTGATGAACTTACCTTGGAATGATAATTGAGCGTGGAAGTGTATTAAAGCATTAGCAACTGGATAAATGTTCTAGCTAGCTTTCTTTCAAATAAACAATTCTTAGATCGCTTCACACAATGTAATTAAAAATTTGTAGTTATTCATAATCTCAAGTTGCTAATTGGTATACCAGATAGAGCAAACCTTTCATTGGATTACTAAATAAACGCAATATGATTAGGAGTATTCGGCAATTAATTAATGTTGACCAAATCAGTAACATACATCTTCAGCAAGAATAACACGTGTTACTCACCAAAAACTTGATTTCTAGTGTTTTGTCTTTGTTCCTTCCTCTGCGGGTTTCATCAGTTTCATTCCGACTTGGATAAGCGTATCGTATCCATGTATGCGTCACTCTACATCTCTCAACTATGTTTCATCTTTTTATCAAGGGGTCAAAGACTTCTAGCTCAAAGCCTTATTGAGTGTTATGTTGCTTAGCGAAAATTTGCAAACTGAAAACTTTCTGTACTGCACAAGTAATTAAAAGTTTTGAAACTCTTTTGTAATTTTTCAGGACTGTATAACAGAGTAATGCTGTACTGAATAATTTATTACTTAATTCAAATGTACCATGAACTCTAATTTCAACATTTAGTGCTTAACTATACCGAAAACTAGAGGATTTTGTAATGGGTATGTATGCCTGAGACTCAGTTCAACAGATATTTTCTTAAATAAACTGGAAAGCAGTTCGCTATGTCTTTCCAAAAGTCTTCACTTTACAGTCTGGACATAGAAGTAATTTTCTTTTATTCGAGTTAATATATTCGTAGTCGTAATGCTTGAATATGCAGTGGGGTCTGAGTGCTTTCAAATGATTTTCTCTTTCAAAAGTCAGGAAAAAGAAATTTGCGTAATAAATATGCACTGCCGGTTCATTGTGTAGATTTCTCTATCTTCGAATACAACAAATATGGGCTCTCTTAAGACTATATTATCTTAGAGGAACAGACGACTTTATACAAAGCACTAGTTGAAAGCAGTGAATTTGATGAATTTATACAGTAAAAATAACAGAAAGGAAACAAATGTATAACCTCAAGACATAATTATTAGTAAAGCATGGTTAAATTATTATTATTATTACTATTATTATTATTATAAGAATATACAGACGATTTTTTAAAATGCTTTTCTTGCTTATTTGCCTGTTTTCTGAAGGAAACACATTTACAACTTCGAAATGACTGGATAAAAGGACAGAAGAATCTGGCTGAAAGATTTCAAACTCTTATGGATGAATTAGATGAAATCAAAAAGTTGAGGGCAAACGACGCTGTCGAATTAACTAGATTCCGTACAATATTGATGCGATTAGATGCAAATTATCTCATTAATTCATCTAATCATATCACTCTTGATAATACTGGTGCTGAAGAGAAATTATACGACAGTGCAAACTTTCTAGGAATTTCAAACGCATCAATAAGTCAAAGAAATGTCAATTTTAAAACAGTCTCTAAAGACGAAGTAGAAGAAGAAGAAGACCGTCGTAATGATCACAATGATAGTATTTCACCAACAGATAAACATTCATTAACTACCACTCAGATGTCCTCACAAAAGTCTTCTATCAAACCATCACTTAGACCAAGACCTGCACCAGCGTATGGAATAGTCAGTACGTCTCGCAGGTAAACATTCAGTCAGCATTTCCTATTATATACCCCCTGTTGATAGACTAAATTATAACAATGGGTTATGTATTATCACCAGTAATTTGCGACTTCAAATCATCAATCGGCCACCGTCAAATAGCATTAATAAGCAATTTATGTTTGGATGCTAATGCAGACTGCATACATATCTTTGTGTACATAACTACTTCACCTTAATTCAGTTTTATTCCTTTTTGATAATATATTAACTTACAAAATCCATTTCGTTTCATACATCTATCCACTATGCTTTAATCGCTATAAAACATTGATTTCTCTTGGGGTTATTTGTAATACCTCCATCTTGTTTTAGTGAGTTACATTGTTATTTCATTTATGTTTACTCAACTACTGTCACTTACAACCTAATTTTAATTATCGACTTTTGTTTCCCACTTAAGTTTTCTGTTTGTCCCGCTGTTAAAACTTATCTAGTTTTTGAGATTTTAAAACCATTCTGTGAACAGATTTTTGAGGAATCTAGTTATCATACTTTACTGATTCCCTTACATTAAAAACTTCAATGTGATTCACTACTTTCGAGTTTATGAGCATACTCACTACTCAATAACCTTACAATTGAGTCATATATCCTGCATACTACTGGTTCACCTGATAAGTAGTTTATGTGTTAAGTCGAATATATTTTTATTGTAGGTTTTTGTTTGCAAATTTACATAAAATACGGATTTTAAAGTAGTTAATCGTCTAATAGTAAAACAAATCGAAAATGTACATGCTATTATTAGGCTTTCATTCGGATCAGTTGGTTTCGAACATTTTCTTTGTAAGGAAAATAACTGAAACACTTACCGCTTGTTACTTACCTTCGCAGATGAAACAAAAATTATAGTGAGTCAAAGGATGCATTACAATGAAATGGTGTTTAAGAATTGATTTTTGCACCTAAGCTGGTCACAACACTCCTAGTGTAACAGCAGAAGGGAAGACATGGAAGCCATTGTATATTTTTCATCAACCATATATATATATAGAATTCTCTAGGCTTTCCCATAGCTTGGATACAGCTAGAACGAAGGCTACTAGCTCATAGTGTATAAGCGATCTCAACCCTTGAAATCATGAATAAAGAGTAACCCTCTTCAACTTCTTCAGTGATTTCCTTGAATCGGTGCAGTGTTGGTACAACTCAGACAAAAGCCCACAGAGAGCCTCCGTGTACTGTTTGAAACGAATGGCTGGATATCGTCACAATCTGGGACTTTCTGGTGGCTGAGTTCTAGTAGTGTCTCTAGAACCACTGTGTAGTTCGTGGAGAACGTAGCCAATAAGTCCACAATTTTTTATTTAGTAAAGCTACTTCCATGGCCTGCATTGTTGTTCAGCCATCTGTCAAAGGTTGAAAAGATCGCCCCAACATAGTGATATATCGGTCTCTATGGCCTAAGGTTCATGAATTAGAGATGGCGAGTTTTATATGCGACATGAATAAGTTTAAATCTTTGCGGCTTGCTTGGCGTTTTCGGCAAGGCTTGCAAGATAAGTTTAAAATATCCTTTCAAACATGGTTTTTGCGACCTGTGGTCCAAGGCTGCTGGAGAGACGATGACTTGCATCATTGTGTTTATACTCCCCCTTAATCATCTCTTAATTTTAATGATGTTGTAGTGCTTCCCAACCCGTTCCTTTTGAGAGTTCTTCTGAATTTTGTGTAGTCGGCTGCACAGTAGGACAAAGATGTCGCTCAACATCCCACTCGAATAGCTCGCACAGAGCTGGATCGAACACGATGTCTGCATGGCCTTGTTGCGAGTGAAGAGTTCGTGGTTAATTGTCGGCAATCAAGTTATAATTCAACTTTGATGACATTCTTTCAAGGTTCTAATTAATTCTGTGTCCTTTCCATCACTCCTCGTTATGTGTGGCAGCTTTCAGTCGAATGGATTTTGACCATATCCCGACACTTGGTAAGTGGATGAGTCACTGAAGACTAAATATATCATAACTTTATCTCAGCCCAGGTCCCGCATTTCGGTGATTTTGCTGGACAGTTTTTGTTTGTAATATGAACCACATGAGGTCTGTCAATAGCAGCTATCCAATAAGCGACTAGTGTGGATGACGGTGAATTTTCGGATCTGGGATTAAGGAGGGTAGTGCCTCATTGCTATTATTCCCCTGGGTTACTTAACGAATTTTGTGGTAATCGCAACTTCTTTATCACCACTGCCTATCTAAAAAGATCATCATTTACACTGACTTCAATAACAGGGGTTAGTCAGCTGCCTGAGTTAGTCTATTTCACACCTCACTCCCCTCATGTCACTGAATAGGAAAGTGGTATTTAGTCTAACCACCTCGCCTGGTTGTCCTACCTACAGCTCTGTTCTCTAACTGAGGTAAGAAGATGCAGTGATTCTTCATCTTTTGATGTCGACTTCCAAGGCATAGGATATACGTAGTTAACGCGATCTTAGACCTAGATTCAAGGCTGAAACATCATAAACATTTCTTTCGGGGAGCTGAATTTCAAAGCTATCAACCTCAATAAGATTTTTGGTGTCGGATGCGTAGGACAAGGAAGGCTGCATGCATGGGTAATCACAGAATTATCAACGACCCTTTCACAGGAATGCCGTATGTGTATGCCCATTCTTAGTTCCGAAACTCTATGTATGAACACTACCTGACTGAGATATCGAGTAGCATTCTTATATCTACGGATCGGCAGATTAGCAATATATCATTATTGTCTTAATTACTGTTCACATCAACATATTCACTAAACATAAATCTATTTCTCAGAAAGAAGTCAGAACATACACCTATGAATATAAAGGCAGATGACATAAATTTGGAATTTCAGTTGATAATTTGCAGATATTCAAAATCTCACACTGCAATTCTACAATTTTCCGTTGACCTAGTTCGAGGTATCATCAGAGGGTGTCAAAACCTGGACAAAAATAGAACTCTGATCTTCATCAAGTCACTCAAATTCAGTGTAAATGAATTTAGAATCCTTGTTACTGGCGATGTTTGCTGAGGAATATACCTAATTCAACAAAAATAGGGAAAATCGTGTTCAAAATAGGGACATTGCATTGAGTAAAAATGGGGAAATAGTAAGGTTTTCTCCATTTTCCCATGCACCCCATTTTGTCCCCTTTTTTGTCGCCTTTTCCCCATTTTGTAAAGTCAGGTTGTCCCCAGAATTCGCATAATTTCCCCATTTTGTCCCTATTATTCGGATTTTGTCCCCATTTTACCCCAAAAGTCCCCATTCTGTCCCCACATTTGTCCGATTGGGTATATATGTATACAGTATATAATGTCTCAAATAAGTTGGTGAATAAATTTGTCGTATCGTCTTTCTTTCTTTTTCCGAAAAAGCAGCACCACTGTATATGAATGTGACTGGTTATTACAAATGCTTTTATTAGTCGGGTATGAGAAACTGCGATTATGTTTCACATACATTACCACCTAAATACTGTCAGCGTCAAATTAACGCGCGAAATCCTTCATGTTTACCCGTGAGAATTATCTAATCACTTAACCAAGATTAGATGAACGTGAGCTTTCTCTAACTCCAATTAAGTGTTCATGTAGAAATCACTATTCCGTGAAAAGCCACCTGGTCAGGCTTCGCAGCAATCACGTGGTATACCAACAAGTCTTGTTTATCTGAACCAGTGAGGAAGATGCTGCTACAGACTAGCTGTACTTGAGGCTTTGGAAGTATTTCGAGACAGCCGGACTTACCACACAGAGATTTTATATGTAAGTAATGGTTGAATTTAGTTCACCGGCTAGGAAGATCAGGTTCCCCAAGGTGATAATTCACCAAATAGATATTTCCCGTTTAGAGAGGAAAAAGCATGTGTAATCCCACTCGTCAAGCAATGATCTGAAACAGAGAGCAAAGCGCTCGTTAGCAGTGTGATCACACAAGTGTTGCTTGCCAGCAAAAACGAAGACTCAAGGTCAAGTATTATATTTACAACCAATCGCAATACAATTAGATAAGAGGGAAGGGGACTCCTACTGGTCATCCGTTGCCTCGTCTTGGGTAACCAATCCCTGCATACTTCGTAGCCAACCTGAAAGTATACAAGTATAGTTTGAACCGCCGAACTTACCATACCTTACACACCTCCTATTCAAGGAGTAGGAGTTCTTTTAGCTTGGTGGTAGGTATTCCAATATTCAGGTTGTTTTCTTCCGAGTATTTGCATAGAAAACAAATCGTCTCAGTGATAGGGACGTTTGTAAAGAGAGACTCGACGTCGAGTGAAATCATACGTTTGTCTCCCACTTTAACATCCTTGATACAATCGATGAATTCAAAAGTATCTCGGAGAGAATGTTTTGAAATTCGTTCTCTAACAGGTTGTAGGAGTTCTGCTAGGCAATTCGCTATTGGATGATACGGAGATCCCGACATGTCCAAAATAGGGCGCAGTGGAAGACCTTGTTTATGAGTTTTTAGCAATCCGTATAGTCGGGGTATTATTGAACCTGTCGGTCGAATGCTCTCGAAGACATTTTCAGAGATAACTTGATCAGTTTTTAGCTTTCTCAGGATCTCAGTTAGCTGTCTTTCCGTTGCCTCGGTTTTGTCTTTCTCTTTCTCGCATACTGAGAACTTGTTGTTATCTGAGAGAATCGCCACCATTTTATCAATATAATCTTTTCTATCCATTAAGACTATACCTGTACCTTAGTCAGGGCGTGTGATAAGCAATTCTTTGTTCTGTCTCAGTTGGTTGAGTTGTTCTCTATGCTCTTTGTTCAAAAGATTGTTGAACTTGGACTTTGTATTGAGATACTGTTGACAGGAGTCTAGAATAGTAGACTTAAAATGTTTGAATTCTTCTTCGGAAGCTGGGACAAGATCAGCAGTCTGATTGATCAAATTTTCAAACTCGACATAAGTATTGAGGTTGCTTATGTTTGAGTTCATGTCTCAAAATCTTGGTCCGAGAGACAAGGCCTCGAATTGTATGGGAGATAGCGTTACTGAAGAATAATTGAATACAAATTTGCTGGGGTCTTCTGGAAGCTTGCGTCGTGTTTCTGTAGTATTGAGACTTTTCAATAAGTTAGAATGGATGGCTTGTGTACGCTTCTCCGTAACCACAGTGACATAGTCGGTAAATGCTTGTCGTTCATCACAAGACAATTCGTGTAACGCAGAGGAACGTTGCGCTATGTTGCTCTCGAATTCTGGCAAACGCGATATAGTGGAATCAATATGGTTCAGGGTATGACGCTTGAGGGATTTCGAGTTCGGATAAATGTGATTGCGATGTAGAGCTTTCCAATACCACTTGGGATATTCATGATTATTCATACAGTCTCTGAGAAAACTAATCTTCGCATTAACTTCAGCAAGCTTGACAGAATATCGCAGAAACCCATTCAGTTTCTTCACTGTCAGAGGGTCCTTGCTTATTTTTAATTCGCGAAAAATACCCATTAAGACATTGATATAAGAACAAATTAGTTCAGCGAAGAGTCTCTTTTCGGCGAATTCCTCACATCTTACCAATTTTCACCCCACTTAGTTACAACTTTGATTATTAATCACACATGTTAATTTCTATATTATTTTGATGACGTAACCCTACTCACATCTTACCAATCCCCACCCCACTTAGTTACAACTTCGATTACTATTCACACAATTTAATTTCTTTATTATTTTGATGATGTAATCAACAACCCACACTAACTGTTATTTTGATTTTGACAAACCTTATGTACAAACATACACACAAAATTAATTGTATATATTTGCGACTGTACAGCTAAGAGAATGAATTCGCCGAAAAGAGACTCTTCGCTGAACTAATTTGTTCTTATTTCGATGTCTTAATGGGTATTTTTCGCGAACTATTCTCATTTCGCTACTGTCTGCTTAGGAGGATTTGATTACTGCCTAAAAGATAACGAATGACGAGAATCACCCAAAGAAAGGCGTTCTGCCATTGAATAGATATGGACTTCCTCGTGGAAATCGAAGAAGGATAGCTCATCAGAGGTCAAGGACTCCGATGCGCTCCCACTCCTTTTCGCTACGGGTTTGCCGGCCCTGGAACTCCTTATCGACAGATGTAGCTATAGCCCTGTCTGTGGAAACTTTTAAGCGAAGGCTGAAAAATCATGCAGAGACACAAGGACTGTGTCCAAATGACCTATCCACTTAAAACCCCATACACCATTCATGGATAGTCATCTAAATTTGTCGTTTCACTTCTTTACATTCTCTCCCGTCTTACTATCCTGACTATTCCATCTACAACACTTGCGCTTATCATAATAAGTATTATTGATATTATATATATTTATGTGTATGTATACCTATCAACTTCAATTTCAATTAGCTGTCTGTTTTTACGTTTTCTTTTAATTTCTTTTTGTCTTTTAGTCTGCGTAACGTACACTAATTATATCTGTTGTCATTATTAGCTCTTTTCTCTTGCCGACGATAACGGAGGATCAACTCCATTCACAGTAGCAACAGAGTCTTAACACACTGCATACTACAAACAACATTTAATTGTTCTCAACCCCACTCCTTTAGTAGTCAACCACAGCTACGTCAGTCGAGTGACAGGACGAACTAAGCAGAAGTTTACCAAAGTTCATGGACCTTCACCTCAAAATCGAGGAGCGAGCACAAAGAAATTGAATAGGTTTATACTAGCTTGTAAAATTGATATTGGATATTGGATTGTTTTTTGATAAGTCGTAGTCATGGAAATAAATTGATACTCTTACGAATGTCAAGGTCAATTGGTTTCGCTGACAATAAAAGCCTCGATTATTTTCACGCAGAATATATCCCAGGACCTGGAGAATACAATATCAACAACAGCATCGAAAAAGTCACTTCAAAATTTGGTTCATTTGGACCTGTACCCAAGGTAATGGTTTGAAATGTGTACGCATACGTACAAAATTATTTATAAATAAGTTTACTATATGTTTCAATGTTACGTCATAAGGAAATATGACGTGAAGTCGCGTTTTTTGATATAAAATACTCAATATTTTCTCACATTTTACTGAGAAAGTTTTAATGCTACGAGAAGCTAAATGCGCATATTATAGTATTATAGCTATAATGCTGAGTGAAATCTCACAAATTCTGAAATATTTCTGACATTCTATAGTGAGTAAATTCTGAATCTGTTCTGAAATGGATTCTTTAATGGCACATACTAGAATTCAGTGCTGGTTTACCGCATGACTCCTGTGAAGCCGAATAACCCGAAAGTTACAGGTAAAGTCAAAATCTTTTACTAATATACTTTATCCTTCTGTTCTGTGCTCTCTATTGTCTTTTGCTATCAGTCCATTTGACAAAATAACCCCACTGTCTCTTATTATTTAACCACCAGTACTAATTTAGGAGTAATATGACGATAGATTCTCACCCTAAGATAAGTAATGGGACATCATACTCCGTAGTCACCAGGGCTTCAGTCAAACTAAGCAAACAAGTGAAGGTGATGGACTCTCGCATACCGGTCTTGAAGACCAGGGCAAATATTCCCTGCTCGTACAGATTGCCCATGTCGCCACAGTCCTACAGTGAAGCTGTGCAAAGTCAACCAAGTGGATATGGCTCCATCCCTGTTAACACGACTAGGTTAACAGAGCCGAAGGTGAAAATTGCACTAAGTGAAGACTGTATAACACCCATCTCCATGGTAGGCCATGAAACAGACAGGAAGGCCAAAAAAAACGTTCACGACGTCGCAAGACGACAAGAACGCTCCCCAAGAAGGAAGACGACTGCAAGGTCTGTGCTTCTGTTATCGAACAAGCAGAATCTGCCTTCGAATGTAACTTTTGCAAGCGATGGGTCGATTGTAGATGCGACAATGGGGTACCAAAAGTATATTATGACCTTATGTGTAAGAACCCATGCTAATGGTTCTGGTACATATGCCCAAGTTGCCGTCCTGATGCAGCCTCGCGTAGTCCTTTGAAAACCAAAGATGAAGTGGAAGTAGCAGGGAAAAACGTGGAATGTTCTACCCCCACCAACTCGGAAAATAGCACAAATCCACGTAAATCGAGGATACCGATATCCTCGCCGGTTAAACTTGCAACTCTTGCCGTAACCGCTCCAGACACAGAGGCTGAAGCACCACGGGTTTTGTATCGCTGGAAAAAGACCCCTATCGTCTGCCAGTAATACTGAGACACACAAAAATACCAAGTCGTACCAGACGAAACAAAACGGCATTAAAGGGATGACAAATGTGCGAGGACCGAGCCTAAGCCCACGGTTAGGAGATCAAACTGTGTAATCCTCTTTAATGTACCAGACTGTAGTAGTAGTCTGCTGGAAGATAGGGCCCTATTTGATCAGGAACAGTGGTCCATCTTGTGTAGCACACTGGGTTTGGACATCCAACCAGTAAATCTATGCAGATTGTATAGGGGCACTGCTGCACCTGAAGGCAAACCATCCCCACTGAGGGTAACATTGGGCTCTACCGAGGATGTTGAAAAAGTGTTACTGGCTTCTCAAGTCCTTTCTATAGGGAGGGCCTGTAACATACGTGTTAAGCCAGACAGGCCGTGGAAGGAAAGACAAATGGCGAGGGAGTCGCCAGAGCTCATTCCTTCTGCCTCCATGGTTGTGCATGGCATTCCCGAACTGGTAACTGGGAACGCCTGCGAAAAGCATTGTCATGATGTACAACAATGGAGATGGTTGGCATCCCAGATGGCCCTGGGAGTTCAGGGGCTGTCTCTATTTATAGACTGCCTCGACCCACTCATCTTATGTCAATTAACACGCCACGTCTGTTAGCTGTCAAGTTCAGCTCCCAAGACCAGTTGACTACCGCTCTCCATAGATGGTACGAGACCAAGGACAAGGTCAGCAAACACATTCGCTGCTGCGAGAGCCGGCCTCGCACCCAAAGGAGAGAACAAAGCGTAGTAAAAAAATCCTCAACCCCTAGTCACACTACAGCGGTGCAGCACGGACGATGATAGCCAGTGTCATCCGAGTGCTCCGACTGAACTAGAAGAAAAAAACGCCAACAGGCCGGTTCCTGGGGAATCGGCCAACTAGTTCGTAGGATAACTCCTCAACCGATAGCCAATATCAAGTCAACTACTACGGGGAAGTGGTGAGACTGACTACCAGTTGCCTGTACAGTAATGTGAGAGGGCTAAGAGGCAAAATAGCTGAACTTAGACACCTACAATCACAACTGAACTCCAAAATCATAATACTGACGGAAACCTGGCTAACCCCTACGGTGGCAGACAGCGAAGTCAGTATAAATGATATGGTCCTAGTCAGGCGAGATAGGGACCTGAAAGAAGGAGGTGGAGTCGCCATATACGTCGACAAACAGCTCAGATGTGTTCACGCGATGGACCCTCCCCTCACAGAGCTCCCTGACTCCATATGGTGCCACTTCACCGTTGGGTACTGCAAATATCTAGTGGGCAGCATTTATCGATCACCTTCATGTGGAGCAGACCACAACCAGGTACTGCTAAATACAATCTCAGCGACTCAAGACATGGGTTATGATCAAATTGTCATAGCTGGTGACTTCAATGCCCCATCTCTTAACTTGGTGTCGGGAAAAGCCCATGATAGATTTGATCGAAATCTGCTGCATACCATCAGGAAGGCTGGATTCACTGAAAATGTCAAGATGGATACTAGATGGGGCCCTGATGGGAAGTCTTCTAGACTGGATTACGTGCTCACTAGTGACCAGCTACTAGTGGAAAACGTTCAGATCACGACTCCCATAGGTAGTAGTGACCACGCGGTCATAGTATTCGACATAGTCCTCCGCGAGCGCTTACAGTGGGACAATACACAGCCCTATCTGTGTTATAACAAAGCCAATTACACCAAAATGCGAAGACTTCTGTCTGAAGCAAATTGGCCTAAAAAATGGACAGAGCTAACAGTAGAAGAACACTGGAGAGTGGTAAAGATCATTCACCAGGCGGTCTCAGACACTGTTCCTTTAGTCACACCAAAAGCTAGGAAGCAACGTTCATGGCTAAAAAGGGGGACACAACGCCTTCTGCAGGCGCAGAGAAAAGCCTGGTTTGCGTGGCGACGATCGAAGAGTCAACCCGAACATGAAGTGTACCTTGAACTCAGGAATCGATGTAACATACGAGTCCGGAGCGATAGAAGGACATTTCAGGGAAACCTCGCCAATAAGCTTCTCGTGAACCCCAAAAGCCTATACAGGTTTATGTCCGAAAGAAAACCGACCAACCAGGGAGCATGCAATCTAGTGGGTTCTGATGGGAAATCTCTTACTAGTCTTGAAATGGCAGAGACATTCAGCCTAGCCTTTCACAGGCAACTAAACAGTAACGAGGATATTACCCCACAGAACATCAGATTACATCGCAAAACCAACGCGCGAAAACCTGCTGGGTACATTTCAAATTACCCCGGCTATGGTACTTGTAAAATTGGGAAAGTTGGCTTCGGGAAAGTCTTCAGACCATCCGTCCTGAAGCAGTGTTCAGAAAGTCTCTGCCAACCCCTAAGTGATCTGTTCCAACACTCCCTTGATGTAGGGAAACTTCCATGTGAATGGAAACGAGCAATCCTATCCCCTATCTTCAAGGGTGGTGACCGGCAGAATGCGACCAGTTACAGACCAGTTGCTCTACTTCCAGTGATATCGAAAATATTGGAAAGACTAAAGGAATTAGGTCTTTTCACACTTAGTTACCGTAGGCACAGGGGAGACCTCATCACCGTCTACCAGATCTTAAATGACCAGGTCCACCCAAATAAAAGCATCCTGCCATTAAGTGATTATGGGCTTCCACGAGGTAACCCGCTAAGGATAGCACACCAGAGACCAAAGACTCGAGCGCGCTCACATTTCTTTTCGCTTCGAGTTTGCCACCTCCGGAATGCTTTACCGGCGGCTGTGACTGTCCAGCGGAAGCTGGACAATCATGCAGAAATGCAAGGTTTGTGTCTCAAAAGATTAATCTCATAAAAATTAAAACCACACTGTCAGTGGATAAGCATACAAACTGAATCCCCACGACCTGTTCTACTTTCTCTCACTGTACCGACTACTCTATCTTTTCCTTAGGTCACCTTTATTATTTCACTTATCTCAACCTATATTATCTACACTACAACTTATTATTATTACTACTATTCTGCTTTTATGACTACACCAAATGACCAACGGGAATTAGGTCAAACTCCATTCACTGCAGCAATACAGTCCTAACATACTGCATACTACAAACCACATCTTGACCAATCCCCGCACCACTCCTCTTGGATTCTACCAGAACTAAAGCAGTCGAGTGGCGGGACCTACTACGCAGAAGCTCACCGAAGATCTAGAACCTCTACCTCACAATCAAGAAGCGAGCTCAAAGAAATTACTGGTTTATACTAGCTTGTATTCAGGATATTGGATATATTGGATGACTGGCACTAATTTAGCATAGTGTTCTTTCCCTAGGCATTTTTAGCAGTAGATTATAAATTACTGGGTTTGCTAATCGGCATTTTTACAGCCATCGCAAGGCATATCAAGCACGGACTAGCTTTACTTTAGGACGAAAAGACTTAATTCAATAACTGGCTCTCATTGCAAGCACAGCCAGCGTTATTTCAGAACACACGTTAGTCCATTGGACACTAATAATCTCCAACGGATAGGACAATTCTTCGATGTTTTCCCTGTTTGCCACCCTTATTTCAGTAATAATTAGAATATATTCCCGCCCTTGAAAAATGTTTTCCCTCTTTTGTCATTCTTTTCCCAGAGATGTTGACAAATTTGTCCGCACAACTATCCGATTGGGTAAGATTCGGCAGTAAATCTTAGGGTCAGCTGACTGCTCGCCTTCGGTTATTCAGTGGCCCCCAAGTCTGTAG